GCCCACAGTGCTGTGGGAGGGAGCAGTCCACAGTGCTGTAGGAGGGAGCAGTCCACAGTGCTGTGGGAGGGAGCAGTCCACAGTGCTGTAGGAGGGAGCAGTCCACAGTGCTGTAGGAGGGAGCAGTCCACAGTGCTGTGGGAGGGAGCAGTCCACAGTGCTGTAGGAGGGAACAGTCCACAATGCTGTGATATATCAGTAATCAGCCGATGACAAACATTGGTCTGACGAGGACCTGTTGAGGGAACTTGAGGACGACATGAAACAACCCAACAAGACATACAAGACAGGAGAGGGAAGTCATTGACAAAGTAGCACTCGAGACCTGAGAGGAGCAGTCTAGCCGAGACTCAGCTCACTAGAAGGCTGATTTTGCAGTCTCCTAGACCCAGGATGGCCGCCCTTACTGCTTCTCTGGAAGTCCCACGGACGCCATTGACGGCCCTGCGCTCGAGTGCCCATGGAGACTCATCACTTTCAATTACTTCACCAGGGCTTTTATCCAGGAATGAAAACAAATGGAATAATTTAAGCCCCTAGCGAAATATCCAATGGATCACGTCGCCTGGGCTGGCTGTGATGGACAGATCTAGCAGCAAGAGCCCAACAAACAAACGGACAGTGGCCAGGGAGCGGAACACCGCCGAGTGACAGCTTAACGGACAGGTAAGCTCAAACTCTCAGAGAAAAAAGAACATCGAGATTATTGACACACTAAACACACCCGTTGCGAGTTGTGGAACGCAGCGAGGAAACTGGCAGGGGAAACATTCCCACTATGCGGAGACCAAGTCGGTAATGGAGACTACCAGGAGTCCAAAGACCACGGTCATCCTGGAGACAGGAGACCTATAAGTCGTTATCGCGGCTCTAAGAGACCAGAAAAGAGATCACCATTGTTTTTAACACCATTAAAATGAGGTTACCATTACCTTGGAGGTCAACGAGAAAAGGATGCTATTGCCTTGGACACCAAAGGAAGAGTTAAACCTGCCTCAATGAGTGTCCGGGGCCATGGAGAACATTGGGTATCCTGAAATCCACTAGTAACGAAAGGCAAACTACCTTTAGGTCTTGGAAATCATTAGAGGTAACGCAAGCCTTACAATAAAAGCTTGCCACTCTGGTCCCTACCGTCTCCTGGGCCAGTGAGGCCCAGGAGACGGTAGGGACCCAGGAGATGCTGAGGCCCTGTGAGAGACGGGCCATCCTGGTAGAGGAGGAGGAGAGGAGGAGGAGGAGGAGGTGGCGGAGGTGTGGTGAATGCAGATGGCAGCACCACCTAGAACTGACAAAAGGTAAATAGCAATCACGGTAAACCGGTTCTGGTGTGCTGCTGCTACTACTATTAATATTACTAATAATAATCATGTATTATTTTTTGTTATTATTATAATGTTAATAGCATGTTTATACTGGGTAATAAATAACAACACGTTTTAGGAGGTAGTGATGGTGACTGGAGGCAGAGCCAAGACAACAGGAGGAGATTTGAATTGACTTAATTAAATAATGCAGCTCTGGCCTGGAGGGCTCAATGATGGTGAAGCTGTGAGTTGACATTAGAGGAGCTCCAAGTGAGTGAACATCGCTCACTGCAGAAATCAACACCAATGATCTTATTATCGTGAAACTCAGTCGATAAAGTTGCCATAAAATTATATATTATACCTAAATGTTCAATGTACTGAAAAGAAAGCCGAACTATTGTAATAGCTAATTTTATATAAAATCTTTCACTCTGTTCAGCTTAACTGAAGAATTCTACATACTATCCAGTCATATGACATCCCAGTTCTTACATGTTTCTGGAATAGGTGTCTTCATATATATCATTTGTCCTTTTGTATTAACATTATTTTTATAATCTGGGAGCGAACTAAACCCATAGGGTTCATATAACACAAAGGAAATGGGAGGAAATTAGATTTGATCCAAGGGGAGGATAGAGTCAGTTCCTTGGATCAAGGTGTCGTTTCGTAAAATAGAATCCTGATAAAATTATTTTGGTTTCCCTCATCATTGCCGTTTTCTGTTGTTGGAGTTCTTGTCACTCCGGGCAGGATGAACTGGTTGGTGGCTGGGACAAAGTAAATTGCTCTGCATTGCGAGTCAGGATGAACTGGTGTTCGCGTTGTCATGAAGACTGATGTGATGCAAAATTCGAGATACAGATTAAAGAAAAGTTTTCATATACAAGAGAACCAAACCATCTACTATTATAGACTCAGAGCAGCTGGACTTGTTGGACTGTTTCTCATGTATGTGCAGGAGAGATGTCAGTGCACTTATTGAGACAAAGTCAAAACGTCATCCTTCATAACATGACTAAGAAAGCATTTAACATTGTAGCCCACCAGAGACTGATTCACTAATTAGAGGAACACACAGGGATACGAGGTAAAGTCCTACAGTGGATCAAGGAATACCTAAAGAGCAGAAGACAGGGGATGACGGTAAGTGCAGATGTTTTAGGATGGAAAAACATAACAAGTGGAGTTCCCCAAGGATGAGTTCTAGGACTTTTATAATTCTTAATATACGTAAATGACCTGCGTTTCATTATTTGCTGATGGCGTAAAACTAATAAGAAGAATACAAGTGGAAGCGGATAGGGACGGACTACAGGGGTCCCTAGACAAACTGAAGGAATGATTAAACAAGTGGTAACAGGAGTTCAACCCAAGCAGAACTGGGGATGGAGAGATTTGACCAGACACGAAGAAGCAAGAAACTGTAAATATCATTCAAGGAAAGGGATCTTGGATGCAGATTACATCTAATATATCACCAGAGGAGTACATGAATCGCATAATATCCGCAATAGTTAATCTCAGAATTGTCTTCAGAAACCTCGATAAAGAATCTTACGGAACTCTCTGTACGACGTATGTTAAGCCTGTCATGAAGTATGCTGGACCAGCATGGAGCCCTCACCTGATAAAGCATGTACGAAAATTAGAAAAGGTCCAGAAATTTGTAGCAAGATTAATTCCAGACCTGAGGGGACTGAGTTATAAAAAGCGACTAAAGGAATTGAATCTGACGACTTTATAAGATAGAAAGCATAGGGGAGACATGATTACGACGTATAAGATACCTAGAGGCTTTGACAAAACAGATAGGGACAGACTTTTTAAAATGAGATGCGTAGGGGATATAGAAACTAAAAATACAGATGAGCCAAATGGATGTTAGGAAATGATCCTTCATTCTCAGTAACAAATAACTGGAATGACTTAGATGACGAAGTAATATAGGCAAACTCATTACACAGTTTCAAGAGTAGATATGATAGAGCACACGAGAATAGGAACCAATAATGCCGGCGGTTGTGGTTTAAGAGGAGGGCCCAGGAGCTGAGAATCGACCCTCTCCCTCAAAGAGGATAATTCGGTGAGTAAAACGCGGTGAGTTCACGAACCATTCTACAACTGATCCCACGCTACATTCTTTTATAATAATAATAATAATAATAATAATAATAAATAATAATAATAATAATAATAATAATAATAATAACTCCTTATTTCTACAGCGTACATGACAAAATTGACATAGACCTAGTTGACACATTTAGCATACTTCCCAGAAATCCCCTGGTTACGCGGAGCATATCGGGCAGCATATGAGTTAATCTCGTCCCCCAGGATGCTACCCACAGAAGTAGGGAAACCTGCCTAACATTTAACTCCGAGGCTGTTCTCGGACCCTCAGTGTGTGAGCTGAGGACGTGGTTTCACATGGTTTACTTATTCACATGGTTTCCCCTCTTTGTCTGCGTGAACAAACAGTATCTGTGTGTTAGTCGACTATTGTGGGTTGCATCCTAAAGGGAAAGAGGGATATATATTTTGGATAGGACTAGGCTTTGTAATGATATGAGGTAGAATAATAATCTTGGCCTGTAAACTGATAAATAATTATTAATCATATGGGCATGAGTTTATCATGCTGGTTCTAAGCTACTTCGCTGCCACAGCGAAACATTCATCAAAAGTCGCTCACCGCATCACCGACAGTGGCAATTATATCAACGTTAATAGTATTATTTCACTCAATGTCTATTATGGGTGCTACAACATGTTGAATTGTGACACAGACTAACCACCTGGTGAAAATAAAACGTAAGAAAATTATTACATATTTTTGTTGTACATTGAGGTTTTCTTCAGCAGACGGCTGAAGAGGGCCTCAGTGATAAGCCGAAATATACAGTAATTTTCTTTTGTTTTATTTTATCCATATGGGTTAGTTTGCATCAATGACCAGTGTGTATTATACTTTGTGTTTGAATAATGAATTGAGTTCAACTTTTACTAATTTATGCTTTCTACAACGATATATAGAGGAAGTAAATATGAATGAAATATATTTATATTTCCTTTTAATGCGCTAGATAAAACAGTATGTGTTAGTTACTATTTTGTCAAAGACAATTATCGATAAGACTCTAGGCTTGTTCGATGTTGTGTGTGTGTGTGTGTGTGTGAGTGTGTGTGTGTGTGTGTGTGTGTGTGTGTGTGTGTGTGTGTGTGTGTGTGTGTGGTGTGTGTGTGTGTGTGTGTGTGTGTGTGTGTGTGTGTCAGCGTGTGTCAGCGTGTTGTGTGTGTTTGTGTGTGTGTGTGTGTGTGTGTGTGTGTGAGTGTGTGTGTGTGTGTGTGTGGTGTGTGTGTGTGTGTGTGTGTGTGTGTGTGTGTGTGTGTGTGTGTGTGTGTGTGTGTGTGTGTGTGTGTGTGTGTGTGTGTGTGTGTAGTGAGAGCACCTGGGAAGGGGAGGTAATGTTTACGAGCTAGGTTATCAGCCAACTGACATAACTCATTGTTCAACTATCATTCACACTTATCACTATCATTAATATATCTTTACAACTTTTTTATATCATCCTATAACTGTTAACCACATGTAAATATTATATAACCACAGATAAAAAAGAAATGATAAGCGTATGTACCTGGCGAAGAGTTCACCATCGGAGTGTCATTGTTTGCCTGCTGGTGGCCGGGACGTCTCTACCTCTCTAACACCACAGGCATTTTGCTGAAAAACATTAATTGTACTTTTAATTTTCTAGTGAATATTGAGCATCAATAGGAAGAATAATATTTTCTGTGCTTCAGAATTTATTCCGTGCAGCCTCCGGCACCATGAGTGCGGAGAGGATTCCATTCCTGCTGAGACTTCTCGTGTTTGGTGTCCTCGTACAAGGTATGTAATAAAGCTGTTTTCTGTTTGTTTTTATTGAAGCAATTACTCCGTAATACTTTCAAAATGTGTTAAACAAACATGTGAGTAAAACTATTTGGGTATAAAACGAACCTGCCTGGTTGATCAGGCAATCACCTGACGTGCCTGGCCCAAGTCCGGGCTATGGGAGTAGAAAAACTCGGTACTCATCAAAGGTATATCAAAGGTAGCATGGGTCAGGTTAGGTTTGGGGGTTGTCTGTGCCCCATGTAATCCGCTACCAGCGACCAGGTTAGTCATTACCAGTGGTGAACTTTATACTCGTCCATCTTATACCTGATTCCAACCTGCCACTATACGTTACATACTCTTCATTTTAATGTGAAGAAAAAGTCTTTGTACAAGATTATTGGGAGCACGTTTCGATATCTAAAAATCTTTACCAAATATCACTTACTAATAACCTTATTGGAAGGTTGTCTCAATACATGCTTGTTCTGCCAAGTGTGTCTTTACTATTGTCAGCAGTATGCCATTTCGTTCCTGCTTTCCATTCTATTGTTCACATTTATTTATGGCTCAGAAATCTCACTATAGCTGGAAAATAAGAGTATAAATTTGTGAGTATATTTTTGCAATATTCGACTGGAGTCTGGAGAGCGCTACATATATTTATGTAGCCTAACTCATGTGGATAGTTACATTAGCATGATATATGAAATAGCTTTCGTTTAAAATATAGTAAATCTTTTACTGTTAGAGCATTAAAAATTACCTTGATGTATATATTGCTAAAAATATGTTATTGGTAATACCTAGTAATATTTTTCTTAATATTAGTAAGTTGTTTACATTTTTTAGCATCAGTGTAACATTTAAGAATCTTTATTTAAAACTTATTAACAGAAAATTACTAGCTAGCTCATCGACACCATGCCTAACCCTTCTAGGGTAGGGTAGGTGCCTGAGCCCGAGCCTTTAGCTCATAAGACTGTCATTCCCATTAGTCCCCTTGGGGCGGGGATGACAGACCAGAGAGGCCTAGCTTGTGGCTAGGCCTGGGGACAGTTGGTCCCAAAGATGAGGAGGTACTTGTGCCTCCTCCCATGGGAGACTTAGGTCTCAGACACTCCCTAAAGAGGGAGCCAAGGCCGGGCCACCACTTGGACAAGGCCCGGGCCGGGAGAATACCGGCTAATCTTTAACTAACTAGCTAGCTATGATGAATGTATCTACAACATAAAACCTCAAGCATCTAATAAAATTGATGCAAAACATACTGAAGCGAAGACTAAGCAACAAGCCTTAGCAACATGCTGGATGGCCTGAGGGCATCGCTGACACCTCGACACCTTTCTTCGTAGGACATCCCCCTTAGCTATGGAACTAATTGGTGCTGCATACTCCAGTATGGGCCTGACGTATACTGGAGTATGCAGCACCAATCTGGAACCCACACCTAGTCAAGGATGTTAAGAAATTAGAGAAAGTGCAGAGGTTTGCAACAAGGCTAGTTCCAGAGCTAAGGGGAATGTCCTAAGAAGAAAGGTTAAGGGAAATCGGCCTGACGACACTGGAGGATAGGAGGGTTAGGGGAGACATGATAGCGACATACAAAATACTGCGAAGAATAGATAAGGTGGACAGAGACAGTATGTTCCAGAGAGGGGACACAGAAACAAGGGGTTACAATTGGAAGTTGAAGACTCAGATGAGTCAAAGAGATGTTAGGAAGTATTTCTTCAGTCATAGTTATCAGGAAGTGGAGTAGTCTGGCAAGTAATGTAGCCGAGGCAGGAACAATACAAAGTATAAAGACGAGGTATGATAAAGCTCATGGAACAGAGAGAGAGAGGACCAAGTAGCGACCAGTGAATAGGCGGAGCCAAGAGCTGAGTCTCGACCCCTGCAACCACAATTAGGTGAGTACAGTTAGGTGAGTACTAGTTTTGATGGTGTTTGTGAAGCCTTGAAGTCAATTGGCGACCTAATTCTTTGGGCAATATTAATTGTGACAGTTGCTAGTGTTGGCAAGGTTCATATCGTAATAATGTTGGTAGAATTACTGACAGTATGTAAAGTAAAAGGGCACAAGTGCAACTAATGTGACATTCTATATGTGGCAACGTTTCGCTCTCCAGGAGCTTTGTCAAGCTCCTGGAGAGCGAAACGTTGCCACAATAAAATGTCACATTAGTTGCACTTGTGTCCTTTTAAGATTCATATCGTAATATACTAGGACCTTCATTCTCACAAAGGTAATCAGGCCAAAGTGATATCATTATTAATAAACTGTAAAACAAGGAGGAAAATTAGGAAAACTATAGTATTTACAGAAATGAATTTCAAAGCAAAAAACATGGCTTACATAATAGGTAACAAAATACTGAACAATTACTTTTACTGTTTAACAGTGAGGACGAACCATGGCCATGAAACGCCAAGGGTCGCTCTTGACCACCTGGTCTCCAAGAACCAGGCTTCTACAGAGCCGACAGTTATCTGGAACTGCTACTTCGTGGGCACAGAGTGCGATCTAGTGATTACAGGAGAAGCCCGGTGGACTCTGGCCACCTGGACCAACACTACCAACCACAACCATGGTATTTATCATACTAATAATTTTATTTTAATATTTTGTTCGTGGTTTTGATCATAAGTAGGAGAGTAACCCAAGTCCCCGGAGGCAGTGTTTGTCTCTGTACTGCTTCCTACAGGATGGCCATGAGATAATAATAAAATTACCAAAGTACAATTTCAAATTTAAAAACCGAAGAGAAGATGCATTTCGGAAAGTAGGTCCCATCTTATGTGGCAGTTAAATACATCGGAGAGAGAGAGAGAGAGAGAGAGAGAGAGAGAGAGAGAGAGAGAGAGAGAGAAGGAGAGAGATATTTGAACTAGTCTTCATTATTAGAGACATGAGGAAAAAAAACCTGAGCAGTAGAGCCAGAGTAGAGTTGTGTTGACACCAGACCTTGGTAGCTCTATCAACATGTGGAAAAAAACTAGGGTGGCCTAGCGGGATGGGCTGTCCTGCCTCACTGCCGACCCGGAGCCACGCTGCCTCTCCTTCTGGGAGAATGATCGAATCGAGACCGGGAGCATTCCTCCTCTCACTGGCCCCTAGGGCTACCCTCATGCCTCACTATATTATATAGTCGTGCCGAATAGTAAACGTCAGTTAGCAAGAACATTAAATAAGTCTTCTAATTTCTCTATACGTTTAAAGCATATGTTTTTCCATAATTTAATGTAAAAAATATTAATTTGCACAAAAGAATCTTAGAAAACTTACCATAACCTTATTATAACAATAAGCACTTTATTTTAGCCTAACCATCTAAATATATTTTAGATTTGTTTACATTAATTTAATACTAAACAAACAGTGAAAATATTAATTTTTCGTAGTCAGAATGAATTTTGGCGAAATATTGCATACACATATTTAATTCTTGAATGGCAAATTGCGTTGTATTAGTCAAGATCGCAAGTTTGCCTATTCGCTAGACATAAATATATATATATAGATATTTGTTTAAGTAATTTTATATACTATACAAACATATAAATATATTTTTTTGTTGGTTTCAGATGATTTTGTGGAAATTATTGCATACCACAATTTTCACTTGTCTTGTATGGCAGATGTGCGTTGCTTTTATAAGTCAAGATCGCAAGTTCTGCCTATCGGTACGACATATAATATAATATATATATATAAATATATATATATATATATATATATATATATATATAATATATATTATATATTGTGTGTGTGGTGTGTGTGTTGTGTGTGTGTGTGTTTGTAAAAACAAGTCGGCCGTCTCTCACCGAGCAGGGTGACCCAAAAAGAAAGAAAATCCCCAAAAGAAAAATACTTTCATCATCATTCAACATTTTCACCTCATTCACACATAATCACTGTTTTTGCAGAGGTGCTCAGAACACAACAGTTTAGAAGCATATACGTATAAAGATACACAACATATCCCTCCAAACTGCCAATATCCAAAACCCCTCCTTTAAAGTGCAGGCATTGTACTTCCCATTTCCAGGACTCAAGTCCGGCTATATAAAAAATAACCGGTTTCCCTGAATCCCTTCACTAAATATTACCCTGCTCACACTGCAACAGCTCCGCAGGTCCCAAATACCATTCGTCTCCATTCACTCCTATTGAACACGCTCACGCACGTTTGCTGGAAGTCCAAGCCCCTCGGCCAGAAAACCTCCTTTACCCCCCCCCTTTCCAACCTTCTCGAGGACGACCCCTACCCCGCCTTCCTTCCCCTACAGATTTATACGCTCTCCATGTCATTCTACTTTAATCCATTCTCTCTAAATAACCAAACCACCTCATTATTATTATAATCAAGGGGGAAGCGCTAAACCCGGAGGATTATACAGCGTCTGGGGGGGATGTGGAAGGCATTCAGGCTTAATTCGGGGAACTGGAGCACAGATCCAATTCCCTAAATCAAGAGCCCCTCATCAACATGAAGGAACCTTCCTTGAGGCTCCAAACCACTTCAACATACCCTCTTCAGCCCTCTGACTAATACTTTTATTAGCTCCACACCTTCTCCTAATTTACACACTCCGAATTTTCTGCATAATATTTACACCACACATTGCCCTTAGACAGGACAACTCCACTGCCTCCAACAGCCTCCTCGTTGCAGCCTTTACACCCAAGCTTCACACCCATATAAGAGTGTTGGTACTACTATACTTTCATACTTTCCCTTCTTTGTCTCCATAGATAACGTTTTTTGTCTCCACATATACCTCAACGCACCACTCACTTTTTTTCCTTCATCAATTCTATGATTAACCTCATTCTTCATAAATCCATCCGCCGACACGTCAACTCCCAAGTATCTGAAAACATTCACTTCTTCCATACTCCTCCACCCCAATTTGATATCCAATTATTCTTTGTCTAAATCATTTGATACCCTCATCACCTTACTCTTTTCTATGTTCACTTTCAACTTTCTACCTTTACACACACTCCCAAACTCGTCCACTAACCATTGCATTTTTTCTTTAGAATCTCCCATAAGCACAGTATCATTAGCAAAAAGTAACTGTGCCAATTCCCATTTTGTATTTGACTCCCTATAATTTAATCCCACCCCTCTCCCGAACACCCTAACATTTACTTCTTTTACAACCCCATCTATAAATATATTAAACAACCATGGTGACATTACACATCCCTGTCTAAGACCTACTTTTAATATATATATATATACATATATATATATATATATATATATATATATATATATATATATATATATATATTATATATATATATATTATATATATATATATATATATATATATATTTATATATAATATATATGTATATATATATAATATATATATATATATATATATATATATATATATATATAATATATATATATATATATATATATATATATATATATATATATATGTATATATATATGTCGTGCCGAATAGGTAAAACTGGTCAGTTAGCAAGAACTCGTTTAAAATTAAGTCTCCTAAAAACTTTCTCTTATACGTTTAAAGATATATTTTTCATTTATGTTAATGTAAAAATTAATATTTTTTGGACCAAAACAACCTTAGAAAACTTACCTAACCTTATTATAACAAGCGCAATTTAATTTAGCCTAATGCAGCTAAATATATTTTAGATAAGTTTTACAATAATGTAATAATAAACAAACACAATGAAATATATTTCTTTTCGTTACGTTCAGAATGATTTTTGCGAAATTACTGCATACACAAATTTCACTTGCTCTATTCGGCAAGAAGAGCATTTGCTGTTTAAGCCAATATAGCAAATTTGACCTATTCGGCACGACTTTGTATATATATATTATATATATATATATAATATATATATATATATATATATATATATATATATATATATATATATATATATATATATATATATATATATATATATATATATAATTTTCTCTTATACGTTTAAAGATATATATTTTTTATTAATGTTGATGTAAAAATTTATAATTTTGCACCAAAAGAATCTTAGAAAACTTACCTAACCTTATTATAACAAGAACAATTTATTTTAGCCTAACCCAACTAAATATATTTTAGATTTGTTTACAATAATTTAATACTAACCAAACACAGTGAAATATATTTTTTTCTTTAGGTTCAGAATGATTTTGGCAAAATTATTGCATACACAAATTTTCACTTGTCCTATATGGCAAGATGAGCGTTGCTATTTAAGCCAAGATCGCAAGTTCTGCCTATTCGGCACGATATATATATATATATATATATATATATATATATATATATATATATATATATATATATATATATGCAAAACAACCACTGTGAAAGAAGAGAGAAATTCCAAGCGCTTTCGTGACTACTCACATAATGTGAGTAGTCACGAAAGCGCTTGGAATTTCTCTATTCTTTCACAGTGGTTGTTTTGCATATTCTGAAATCACCTTTTTACTGTGATCTTATTGCATATATTATATATATATATATATATATATATATATATATATATATATATATATATATATATATATATATATATATATAAATGGTAGTAGGTTGGTAGACAGCAACCACCCAGGGAGGTACTACCGTCCTGCCAAGTGAGTGTAAAACGAAAGCCTGTAATTGTTTTACATGATGGTAGGATTGCTGGTGTCTTTTGTCTGTCTCATAAATATGCAAGATTACAGGTACGTCTTGCTACTTCTACTTACACTTAGGTCACACTACACATACATGTACATGTTTATTTATACACACTCATCTGAGTTTTCTTTGATTTTATCTTAATAGTTCTTGGTCTTATTACTTTTCCTTTTATATCCATGGGGAAGTGGAATAAGAATCTTTCCTCCGTAAGCCATGCGTGTTGTAAAAGTCAACTAAAATGCCGGGAACAATGGGCTAATAACCCCTTTTCCTGTAAAGATTACTAAAAAGAATAAGAAGAAGAAAATTGTCAAAGTGGGAAGTCTGAATGTGCGTGGATGTTGTGCAAATGATAAGAAAGAGATAATTGTGGATGTTATGAATGAGAAGAAGCTGGATGTCCTGGCTTTAAGTGAAACAAAGCTGAAGGGGGTGGGAGAGTTTTCAATGGAGAGGAATAAATGGGATTAGGTCAGGGGTTTCAAATAGAGTTAGAGCTAAAGAAGGAGTAGCAATAATGTTGAAGGATAAGCTATGGCAGGAAAAGAGGGACTACAAATGCATAAATTCAAGGATATGTGGAGTAAAATGAAGATTGGATGTGAAAAGTGGGTTATAGTAAGCGTGTTTGCACCTGGAGAAGAAAGAAGTGTAGAGGAGAGAGAGAGATTCTGGGAAATGTTGAGTGAATGCGTGGGGAGTTTTGAATCAAGTGTGAGAGTAATGGTGGTTGGGGATTTCAATGCTAAAGTGGGTAAAAATGTTATGGAGGGAGTAGTAGGTAAATTTGGGGTGCCAGGGGTAAATGTACATGGGGAGCCTTTAATTGAGCTATGTGTAGAAAGAAATTTGGTAATAAGTAATACATATTTTATGAAAAAGAGGATAAATAAATATACAAGGTATGATGTAGCACGTAATGAAAGTAGTTTCTAGATTATGTATTGGTGGATAAAAGGTTGATGGGTAGGCTCCAGGATGTACATGTTTATAGAGGGGCAACTGATATGTCAGATCATTATTTAGTTGTAGCTACAGTTAGAGTAAGAGGTAGATGGGAAAAGAGGAAGGTGGCAACAACAAGTAAGAGGGAGGTGAAAGTGTATAAACTAAGGGAGGAGGAAGTTCGGGCGAGATATAAGCGACTATTGGCAGAAAGGTGGGCTAGTGCAAAGATGAGTAGTGGGGGGGGTTGAAGAGGGTTGGAATAGTTTTAAAAATGCAGTATTAGAATGTGGGGCAGAAGTTTGTGGTTATAGGAGGGTGGGGGCAGGAGGAAAGAGGAGTGATTGGTGGAATGATGAAGTAAAGGGTGTGATAAAAGAGAAAAAGGTAGCTTACGAGAGGTTTTTACAAAGCAGAAGTGTTATAAGAAGAGCAGAGTATATGGAGAGTAAAAGAAAGGTGAAGAGAGTGGTGAGAGAGTGCAAAAGGAGAGCAGATGAAAGAGTGGGAGAGGCACTGTCAAGAAATTTTAATGAAAATAAGAAAAAATTTTGGAGTGAGTTAAATAAGTTAAGAAAGCCTGGGGAAAGTATGGATTTGTCCGTTAAAAACAGAGTAGGGGAGTTAGTAGATGGGGAGAGGGAGGTATTAGGTAGATGGCGAGAATATTTTGAGGAACTTTTAAATGTTGAGGAAGAAATGGAGGCGGTAATTTCATGCACTGGCCAGGGAGGTATACCATCTTTTAGGAGTGAAGAAGAGCAGAATGTAAGTGTGGTGGAGGTACGTGAGGCATTACGTAGAATGAAAGGGGTAAAGCAGCTGGAACTGATGGGATCATGACAGAAATGTTAAAAGCAGGGGAGGGATATAGTGTTGGAGTGGTTGGTACTTTTGTTTAATAAATGTATGAAAGAGGGGAAGGTACCTAGGGATTGGCAGAGAGCATGTATAGTCCCTTTATATAAAGGGAAAGGGGACAAAAGAGATTGTAAAAATTATAGAGGAATAAAGTTTACTGAGTATACCAGGAAAAGTATACGGTAGAGTTATAATTGAAAGAATTAGAGGTAAGACAGAATGTAGAATTGCGGATGAGCAAGGAGGCTTCAGAGTGGGTAGGGGATGTGTAGATCAAGTGTTTACATTGAAGCATATATGTGAACAGTATTAGATAAAGGTAGGGAAGTTTTTATTGCATTTATGGATTTAGAAAAGGCATATGATAGAGTGGATAGAGGGGCAATGTGGCAGATGTTGCAAGTTTATGGAATAGGTGGTAAGTTACTAAATGCTGTAAAGAGCTTTTATGAGGATAGTGAGGCTCAGGTTAGGGTGTGTAGAAGAGAGGGAGAATACTTCCCGGTAAAAGTAGGTCTTAGACAGGGATGTGTAATGTCACCATGGTTGTTTAATATATTTATAGATGGGGTTGTAAAGGAAGTAAATGCTAGGGTGTTCGGGAGAGGGGTGGGATTAAATTATGGGAATCAAATTCAAAATGGGAATTGACACAGTTACTTTTTGCTGATGATACTGTGCTTATGGGAGATTCTAAAGAAAAATTGCAAAGGTTAGTGGATGAGTTTGAGAATGTGTGTAAAGGTAGAAAGTTGAAAGTGAACATAGAAAAGAGTAAGGTGATGAGGGTATCAAATGATTTAGATAAAGAAAAAATGGATATCAAATTGGGGAGGAGGAGTATGGAAGAAGTGAATGTTTTCAGATACTTGGGAGTTGACGTGTGGGCGGAAGGATTTATGAAGGATGAGGTTAATCATAGAATTGATGAGGGAAAAAAGGTGAGTGGTGCGTTGAGGTATATGTGGAGTCAAAAAAACGTTATCTATGGAGGCAAAGAAGGGAATGTATGAAAGTATAGTAGTACCAACACTCTTATATGGATGTGAAGCTTGGGTGGTAAATGCAGCAGCGAGGAGACGGTTGGAGGCAGTGGAGATGTCCTGTCT